CGACGCCACCAGGCCGTTGAAGTAGTCCGTTGGTACCACTTGGTCATCTTGGCCCACCGGAATGCCCGTAGAGTTCCAGGAGCTGAGCGAAGCGGATGGCCGGCTCCCCGCCCAGCTGCCTCCCTTCCTCTGCCGTGCCATGGCGCAGGCACATCAGAACCAGCAGCTCCCCGTCCGTCTGTCTCGGGGAGAAGGACTCATCCGCCAACGTGTCCCACAGGACCCTTGGAATGCGGTCCCAAAGACGAGTGTAAGGCGGGCGCAAAAGAAACTTTGCAGAGACCCTAGCCATGATGAAAGCGGGGGTTCGAGCCTCCTATTGAACGGCCGGGACCCAACCGCGGCACACTGCACGCATGTTCCAACCCCACAGGATGCCGAGTGCAAATGGGGCAGGCAGGCCACATGCAGCCCAACAGGACCCAAAAGTCAACCCCCGGAAATCCCCAAAAAAAGGACCACGGAGGGGGGAAGACCAACCCAGCGGGGGATTCCCCAAAACCCCCAAGGGGACCTCAGGGAACCCAGAGTCAGCCGCAGCCACTTTCTCCAAACTATGGCCCGTCCTTGGGGCAGCCAAAGCGTGCAGCCGGCAAACCGGCAGTCGTGACGCGTTGAACAGGGGGGGAAAACCAGGTGAAAGATGAACCCAAAAAAAAGGGACACCCTTACTCCTCCCCCCACCCAAGACGGGGCCAGAGGCACCCAAGTCCCGGTGGGAAGAGATCTCACGACCCCCCATCCAAAAAGGCTGTGAGACACGACCTAGCGGCTCTCACCCTTCAAGATCGCCTCCTTAGCCACCGAGTGGATGGCCGCCAGCCCTGACTTCTCCGGGTTGCTCAAGATGACCGACCACAAGGCAGTGGAGACATCCCCCAGGCCATTCGAGGAGCTGAAGCGCATGCGCGGGGTGCTCGCATCGCCAAGGACTAGCCGCTCGTCCCTGGGAGGCTCTGTCGGCTCCACCCGCTTGTAGAACTCCATCCTGTCCCGGATCCACTGATTATATAGCTGCTCCGGGGGCTCGTCCATCACCAGCTGCAGGCATGTGGCCTTGTCGTGATCTGGAGCAGCCTGGTCCCCCCGCAGCTCGCCCTCCAGAAGCCCTTGCAGAACCTGCACATGTAGCCCCCGGTGGTCTTGAACTTCTCCTTGCCCACCACTTCCCAGGCGCTGATGCTGGGCAGGACCAGGCCGCACTCCACGGAGGCCCAAAACACGTGCTTCGTCTCCTTCGGGAAGTGCTTGTTGATGTACTTCCGGCCCGCGACCGCCATGACCGTGGACGTGGTGATAGGAGGGTACCGCCTGGTGCCCTGGTCCGGCGTGCGGAGGGTGGTGTCCGCCCCCCCCAGAATCTTGGCCCTGGGGTCCGATTCCTTGGCCGCTCCTCCCCCGGGGCCAGAGGCACCCAAGGGGGGGGAGCAACCCAGCTGCCTGATAAGGTCCTGGGAGTAGCCCAACCGGTCGTACAGGGCCCCCGCCGCCTCCTGCGGGACCTGCTCCACCCAGTCATGGACCACGTTGCAACGCCAGTTGACCTTGACCTCCACCATGGAGGACTTACTCAGGCCCGACACCAGCTTGGTGTACACCGAGTCGAAAGCCCTCAACGATGACAGCGGAAGGGTGATTCGCTCGTCGCAGACGCAGCCTCCTTGCTGTCGTGGACGGGGGTCACTGGGATCTCCATCACCGGCAACGGGCAGTTAACGATGAAATTCTTGGCCGCCAGAAACGTCCCCATCTCCTTGAAGATGTAGCTCCATTCCGCCTTGCTGCGCGGCTTGGGGATTCCCAGGCTCTCCAGGAAGGGGACCGCCTCCTTCCTCATCTGGAGGATGTTGCCCATCCACTTGTCCGAGGCCGAGCCCTCCGCATTGCGGCCCCGGCGCTGCGTCTTCACGATCAGCGGGAAGGTGGTCCAGGCCGAGTAGATGTACTTGAAGGTGAACCTGTGGGCGTACACCCCCGTCAGGCTCGGCAGGTCCCACGTTCTCGTCTGCCTTGTCCAAAACACTCCATCGCCCTTCGCCCAGAAGATCCCCACCACCTGCTCCGGCGCCGGGCGCTCGCCCCGGTTCACCTGCGCTCGGATCTCCAAGGCCGTGTAGATGACAGGGTCGATGTGGTCCTGCTCGCACGTGAGTGGGTGGGTCCTGCGTTCCAGGGCCAGAAGCTCCTCCGGAGTGAGCTTGAATTGCTGGTCCGCGCCCTTGGGGATCTCACCGCTTGAGTGCTTCTTCCAGATCCCCCCAAACATCCGTAGCTCACCTTGGTGCCTCTTCATCGCCCAGAGGAGCAGGGACAGCTTGCCCTCCTCCGAGTCCAGGTCCTGCTGTGGCATTGACTGGTCCCCCCCGGGGCCAGTGGGGGGGGCCGGATCGGGCATCTCCTCCAGCAGCGCCTCCTGGTTCCATGGGTTCTGCGCCTCTCTGAGCCTCCTCATGTAGGGGACATACTTCTCCTTGATGTCTCCCACGTTGGGGATGTCCTCGGGGTCATCCAGCTCCAGGGGGCAGAACAGCCCCCTCTCCAGTGCCTGCCTGAGATCATCTGGCCACGCCGACAGCATCCATGCCTGGTTGGTGTCCTGGGTGCGCTTGTTCGCCTCCTGAGCCTCCTGGATGGAGCCCATCGCCTCAGCCAGTGCCTGGCTGGCGTCAACGCCCTTCCCCTCCAGGTACTGATCTCGCAGCTTGGCCCTTCCTGAGGGCCCGGGCTCCCTCATTGGCCACCTCCTCTGACGGCAGGGCCTGCATGCCCTCCTGGAGAGGCGCCAGGATAGCCATCTCATTGTCCAGCATCTCGTCCGTGACCAACTCCTTGTGCCGCCGCCTGGCCGAGGACTCCTCCAGAATCGGTTCCCGGTGCTCCCTCAAGGCCTTATGCAGCTCCTCCTTCTTCCGGATCGCCTGGTCCACCTGGGGGTGGTAGAGCTGGAAGCTCTGAGCCTCCGCCTCCTTCAGGGACCCTGCACTTTGACCTTGACCTCCTGGCGCTCCCGGACCTTCAACGCCTCATCGTCCGCCTCCATGGACAGGATCTCCTGCCGGATGTCCACCCGCCTGTTGAGCGGGACCACGTCTGCCATGGTAATCTCCTCTGCCGTGTCCGTTTTCGGAGGAGCTCTCCCCAGGACCGTGCCGTCCACCAGGTTGCGGTCTGCCTGTGCCCGGGTACCACCGGGGCCAGCGGCACCCAGGCTTCCCCCTTCCCGCTGCTGGATCCAGGTCGGCTTGCCCTCCACAATGAGCAGGTTGTACTTGACGCCGTCCGCCTCGTAGGTAGCCGAGGGTGCCTGGAAGGGGACGAACTCCTTGCCCGGGCAGACCCAGCATTGCTTGGCTGCCTCCGGCCACCCCGTGCCGCATGCCTTGCACATGAATTTGTAGTCTGAGTGGCCGGCATCGAGTCTGTGCATCCGCTGGGTGCCAATGCACGCCTTGTTCCTCTGGAACTGTGAGGCCCAGACCTCCTCCTGCCGGATCTGGATCTTCATCGGAACATAGGCCTCCAGGATGCGAATCACCAAGTCCTCCGTGAGCTTCTTCCCGACAAACTTGTGGAACAGGGAGACCGCCTCCTCCACCGTGGCCGCCGATGCCGGAAGGACCGGGAAGAGGTCTGGGAGGTCCACTAACTTGAAGTAGCCGGGACGGCCCTCCACCGGCACAAGGGAGACCGGTTTGTTCACCTGAGCCGTGGTCTTCTGGGAAGCCGCCACGAAACCCTTCAGCCTCTTCGTTGGTGGAGTAGCCCGCTCCGTGGCGTCCGCATCTTCCATGTCCTTGTCCTCCTCCTCGGCGGGGCCAGGGGCACCCAAGCCGGAAGTCGGTGTGGAGAAAGCCACACGAAGACGCTCCAGTGCACTGGAGAGGTCGTTCATCACGTCGGTAGCCGAAGCCGACGGGGGGGCCTCGGGCTCGTCCAACACCAGGCCGGCCGCCACTGCCGCCTCGCGTGTGCGGATTTCCTGGGCCTCCTGGCTGGCCATTTCCACCTCCTCCGCGGTGAGCTTCTGGTCCTCAATCAGCTCGAAGGAAGTTGCCGAGGTTGCCGAGGAAGCCATTGCTGGTTCGGGGGTAGTTCGGAAGTGTTCAAACTCAAATTGTTTCACACAAATTGGGTTCAAAGAACCCAGGGCAAAGCTTGAGCCAAAATGGCATGCGCCATTATGGTCAAGCATTGCCAACACAGTTCATGTTTCCACATGCGTTTCAACATTAACAAATCAACCTCCCAAGCCGCGTCAAACAAAAACACGTCGCTTCGCTCCCCGGGTCTCTTGAGCCACACAAGAACTTCGCTTGGTTTCTGTTCTTGTTTGAGTTGGTAAGGCTGGCAGACGATGGCACCATTCCCTTTCTAACAAGCCACGGGGGATCAAACCAAGAAAGCTACGGAGTACGTCGCCATCTGCTTCACCCAACGGACCCATCAGGAAAGCGATCCGGACATCCCCAGACGGGCCCCTTTTTCGGTCCAGCCCGGAAAAGCATCACTCCAACAAAAGGAACTCACTGTGCATTGGCCCAAAAGGTGACGTATGGCAACTGCTACCCCTACCTTGAGAGTCACCTTGGGTCCCCCAATTCCCATTTGTCTAGTCCCCACAAAACCGAGATCCACACAAACAACATCCCTCCCCCCAATTCCAAGGGCGGGGACCAGCGCGTGTCTCGCCCGACCTCCATGCCCTCTTCAAAACAGGGCTGTCCAAACCGATCTCCTGCCAGAATTGAGCAACTCGTGGGTTAAATTCGGCAACCCACCCACGCTTCACCAACCAGAAACCGGGAAAAAACCTGAAACCCAACCACTAAACCAACGAAAGACAACAACAAAAACCTGAAACCCAACCACCAAACCAGCGAAAACCAAAAAGAACGAAAAGCCTGAAATCCAACCACTAAACCAACCGAAAACAAAACAAAACAAAAAAGAAACTCCCACCGCACGCTTCCCTTGGTTGAACCCAGAAAGAAACCTCTCGCCTGCCAGGTCCACGATGGAGATCTTCCCAAACCTCTGCCTCCATCGATCGATCGAGCGACTTCAACGAAACACGCCGAGTCGCGGGTGAACCCGAGGTCAAACGAGCAAAGCCGACTCTAATTCTAGGTCCTCCAGATTTGAGAGGTTAGAATAAGGGCGCCAACCTTTTTTCGGTTTTGTCTATTTTAGTAGAACTCCCCCCCAAAAAAAGGTAAAAGGGCACTACTGGGGGACCTAGTTGACAGTTGCAACAGGATGCGTTGAGAGTTCTGGTGGCTTAACAATACCCAGGCGGAATGTGACACGCGCTGCAAGGCGGTGACGGATGCCAGGCACTGCCTATTCTAATTGTATCTGACAATTCATTTAATCATCCTAAACTGACATGGTTCAGTTTGTCTTTGTTGAAAAAATAATGACACGTCGGTGAGAGCCAACCACCCAAACTGGATGGCAGGTTTCCGAAGAAAACTCGAGGTGTTTCGGATGGCAGGAAGCCCATATTTCCAAGAGGGGGCTTTACATGGCACCTAGAAAAGGAGGGAGGTTGGGTTCCCATGATAAGTGACCCATTCTTGAGGAGAGGATTCCCTATGTGTTCCCACAGGCCTACGATCGGATTTGCTCCAATATCCGGCAAGACGGAGTTACGCGATCGTTTCGTTGAAATTTGGTGTGTGTGTGTGTGTGCCGTTTTTGGAAAATTGGTGCAGCAGCAGCGAAATATTCGCCGCTGTGAGGATTCGCGGCTGCTCATGTGCCGACACAAGTACTTTGAGACAAGCCGGTTCTGAGGAATTTGGCAACATTCAGGTCCCCTGCCTCGTCCAAAGAACAGACTCCAATGCGGGTGAGCATGGAGTCAAATTTCCTTCCGGGACCCCAAGGAGTTCCCTCAGTGGGGAGACTTGTCCGTAAACCAAAAGGAAAACCCGTGAGCCAACTCCAAAAACGACGAGGCGCCCATGTCTTTGTCGTGTCGGGCAAGGGCTCCATCTTGCAAAACATAAGACAAGGAGGAGCTGTGGATGGCGTCCAGGCATTCTATCTTGAACCCGACACTTGGCTTACACCGGGTTTAAGACAAATGGTAAAGATGAAGAAGACATTCGATGTGGGTCTTTCTCAAAATAGGGGACCGATTCCTCCAGTTAGGTGGCTTTGTCCTGGTTTCCTGCTTAAAACCATCCAGAAAACATTCGCCGTCAAAGCCGCAACCAAAAAGGCATCGAGAGGCTCAGTGTCTTGGATGGGGTTGGGGACAGAGATATGTATAAATATATGCATATACATATATATATATATATGTGTGTATACAAACATATGATATACAAATATATAAATGTAAAACAAAAAAAAACATGACTATATGCTTGGATATATATATATATATATATATATATATACATATATTAATATATATATATATATATATTGTCCAAGACCCTTTTCCTTTTCAAGGCACCCCCAGGGTGGATCACTGATGTGTCGACAAAGCTCTGGGCCTTTGACGAGCTCTCGGCGCGAGCTGGCCTGCGGGTCTCCTTGTCAGTCACATCCATGCTGATGATGAGCATGAGGTGCGACCTGGCCGGAGGAAAAGAAAAACATGAAAAAAACTGACTCTTCATCAGACATGGGCCAAATCCTAGACTTTGGTTTCCATTGAAAGTACCAAAGACTTGCCATCCCCCCCTATCATGGGTCAAAAGCCAAAAGCCAAAATTCCGTACCTCCAGTGAACATCCGATTCAATCCAACCACTAAAATAGGTTCTAAAATGGGTGGTGCACCTACCCCAAAATGGGATCCAAAACGGTTTTGTCCCACAGCCAATTGGCACCGCGTGGCGATCGTCCTCTATGTTGACCTCTTCGGTTTAGACTGGTCTATAGGGTATCCTCAGCTTCAGCCTTTTTGGACACAAACGGCTTCTCCATTAAACCTGAGGTGATCGACCTTCAGAACCTCCGTGCGAAGCTGATCTGGAAGACCCCAACAGCGAAAATGCGGTTGAGGAACCAAACGTGCCCGCAAGAGACACGTGGCAACTGATTTAAAGGTGGTTTCCACTACGACTGCCACTTTTGGAGGTGTACTTTAAAGGAAATTGGCTAAACCACCACATAGCCAGCATGTAAAGGGTATATGAGCCCCATTTCTCCCAACAAGATAGTGGTTCTCCCTGCAAAAAGGTACTTTCCACTAAGACTGCCACTTTTGGAGGTTCCAAAAAAGGAATTGGCTCGGAACCCCACCAAAATCGGGTGCCGCCTTCTTCGACTTCGGCTTCGGCTTCGGAGCTTCGCCCGCTTCGCCCGCCTGGAGCTTGAGGCGTTCATCTTGGTTGAGCGGACCTTGCGGTTGTCGAGGCCCATGGCCACCACCTGTCGAGTCATCGGCTCTCGAGTCATGAGTCACTTGCTCAAAACCGATCGGTACAAAAATTTGGTGAACCCAAAACCATGCTTCAAGAATTAGAAAGGCGGAAATTTCCGCAGCTATTTCTGGCTGGGACTGCCCCTTACTAACCGGATCATCTACCCAGGTATTGATTGTGGCTCAAATGGCTGTGGCAACCAAAAACCGAGGAATCCCAACATGGGTTGCCCGGTCGGTGAGTGGAAAGATGGGTACCAGAACCTGCGGCTCGCCCCTCCTGCTTAAATTTGAGCACCCAAATGTGTGTTCTTCACCAAAACGTGGGGGCGTTGGTTTGCAGTTGGGTGTTTATCAAGATTCCCAGACCCCTCCAGGAGGTTAGTTTCCTTTTGGCTTCCCTTTAGAATTATACAAAGAGGGATCCCCAATTTAGAGAAACACCCGAAAGGCAAACCAAACGGAAACCGGTGGCCATATTGGGGAACCTTTGAGAAACAACAAAAAAAGCTATAGTGGGGATTGATCCGGGGAAAACAAAGACATGGACCGGGTTCCAGCCAGCCCGAGGGAAAAACCACGCATGCCTCTAGGAGGGGCAGGTCAGATCCCTTTCCTGCCTCGAACCCGAGCAAGTTGGAGCTCAAACAAGGGCCCAATTCTGAGGGTCGAAGTGAACCTTATCTTCTGAAGGCCGTTTGGTCTTTTGTGTCAGTCTGCGCCAAAAGGAACCCTATCTGTCAATTGTCTAAAACTGACCCATCTGAAGAACACGAAGGTTGGAAACCTGAAAAGAGGAAGTGTATCTTTCAGGGGTGATAGTGAAATGCAAACATTGCAAATGCTGCTTGTTTCAAACCTCTTTTTGCAGTGGCCACGAGACGTGCACTGCTTGATTCTTCCCCAAGATGGGTCACAAAGCCCTGCCACTCAGCTCAGCGGACATCCCTTTCTGCCCTTTGCGCGGAGCGTTTGGGCAGTCAACCCACAGCAACCGATCTGCTCAAGTCATGCGCAAACCGAAATGGAGTAATGGAGTCTACCCGAAATGCACAGGGTCCAACCGGACTCTGTGGACCTGTGTCTGGTTGAAACTGCTAAACTTGATCTAGGTCCTTCAGTAGAGAGGTTGGAATAAGGGTACCCTTTTTTTGTAGTTTATTCTAGTAGGGGAACCCTCCCCCCAAAAAGGGTAAAAGGGCACCACCGAAAAAACCTAATGATTCATCCAGGAATTGCTTGTGGCTCCATTCGGCATGCAAATGACCCTCTCATTGGTGAGAACGTCATCAAAAGCTCAGGCTCTGCCCCGCTTTTTCCGACGGAATCCGTCGACATTCCGGCCGGCTACACGGGGGCTCCCTACATATTTGCCCTCAATCGATCCGACCTGAGCTGACTCACAAACAACCGTTCTTTGAGGGGCTTGCCAGGGATGCCAACCAAAACTTCGAAACACATCGCCAAGTAAGTAGGTCAGTGAGGAAACGCGTGTAAAACAAAAAAACGCCGTTCAAGCCACCAAGGGGGAAATGTAGGGAACCCTGCCAGCGCGCCGTTGCAACTCTCGCGGACCTCGCTTGCCAAGGCTCCGCGGCTTTTGCGCCAACGGCTCGCTCAAGAGCACTCGGCTGGTGGTGGCAGGAAGTCCTTCGGCTCCAGCGCCTCTGGCCTGGGCGGTCCGCCGATCTGGGAAACCAAAATCCCCCTGTTTTTCCCATAGCTCCCTAGCCCTATCGTGACCTCGGGCCTCAAGCGCAGGTGCCAGCAGGCAACCAAACTCCCCATCCCTAACCCTATACTTTGCTCCCAAGCCTCAAAAAAACGCGCCGCTGTTTTCTTCCGTTCCTTCCGGTTCTGGCAAGCAGCATACCTCCAGCAAACCAACAAAACTTCCCCCGCTTCCCTCCCCTCCCCTCCCCTCTACCAGCGCGCCTCAAACCAACCAAACCCACCGCTTACCTCTACCAGAGCGCCTCCTGCAAAAAACAAAAACCGCCCCGCCTCCCCTGCCTCCGCCTCGCCTCGCCTCTCCCGCCGCCTCGCTTCCCGGTTGCGCTGTCCGCTTCCCGCCGGGGCGCGCGAGGCGGGCGCTGTGCACCCGGCAGCTGGCCTTGCGATCGCGCCACGCGGGGTTGCGTCCCAGGCAGAGGGGACCCGCCCAGCTGCTCCACGCGCCTCGAGCGGGCGGGCTGAGGAGCTCGGGGGGGGGAGGGGGGGTTGGGTAGTGGCCCAGGGGTGGGGTGGCCCAGGCGTTGGTTGACGCAAATCCAATTGAAATGGGGCTCCAATGGGCTCCAACGTTGAGACACGATTTTCCAAGCACACAAAAACTTGCTTAAGCAATTGGCAACATGGGTCGACTCTTTTTTTGAGGTGCCAAATATTGGTTGGTAAGGGAAAGCCAAAAGGAAAACCCTCCTATTTTGGGGGTGTCCCGTAAAAAAAAAGACACCCATATAGTCGTTGCATTGGCTGGGTGCAATGGTTTGAGACCGGTTGCCTTGCCCCCTTGGAAGGAGGTAACGGGTCCCAACAACAAAAAACGGCCAGCATACGGCACCAGACTGCGAAACATCCGACAGACGGTGTACCCATCATCGAAATGCATGTCAAAATGATTCCTGTTCAAAGCCATCACTTGCCACAAGCTCACAGCTCCACTGTAGGAGATTCCTGGTTCTTGTGGTCAAAATTGGGGATTCCCCCATGTGCCTCCCAAGTTGACCACAGATAACAGCACATGTTGACCAAACCTCACCAGGGATTGCAAATGTCCCCGACCTTCCGAGGAAAGGTAAAAAGAATCATAGCATGACACCAAGTCCAACCGCTCAGTATGATGTTCAAACGCCGACTTTGGGTTTGTTTGTGGGGTACATGTGGTTTCTGAAGGAAAACCAAATGGAAAACCACCATTTTTAGAAGCGGGGGGCTAGTAAAAGACACACCCATATGGACCCCTAAAGATGGTACTGTAGCAAACGGAAACGGGTAGCAGCCCCAAAAAACGACTCACCCGTATACGCCGCTTTGCCGGGGGGAAAAACGCAAAGAAGCTCGCATGCCCGCTGGGGGAAACAACATGAAATCTGTGATACCTTTGGTGGAACGTCCATCTCCTTGTCACTTGAAAAGGGATTCGCTTCGTAAAAAAATGTGACCTACCCTGCCCTCAGGGGTGATCTGGCAACCCAAAGGGAAAAAAGGCAACCCAAAAAAGAAGTGGCTTGGAGAAGCCGAGAGGGAAACACCTCCAGCAGAGTCGCTTTGTTTAGGAGTCTACAAAAAAATGCATATTCCTCCCCAGTTACAAGAGGTTTGGTGTTGCCCCAAAATCCAACGGTCAAAATGACTTGCTTTCCCAAGACATGGGAAACTGGCTGGGTCCGCTGGGCTTTGGCTGAATGGCAAAAGGCGGCCTCTCACCATTCACCCCCATCCCACGCCACCCACCCCAACCCACCCAACCCAACCCACACCCAACCCACTAGAAGTCGCTGAATGGACGCATCACGGCTACGACTTTTCACCGAACCCATCCGTCGCCTGGAGGGACGACGTGTTCTGCCGCCAGCTTACCAGCCACAAAGACCCGCATCGTCGAGCCATCCTCGGGTTGAAGGCGGGCGGATGCTTGATTCATGGCACCGGGGTTCAGGCAGGCCCACCATTGAAACAAAGGGGGGTCATATTTCATCACCAGTATCGTTCAGGAGTTTCATCATCCAAATTGGGTCCCCAGGCCATTTTTGTCATGGGGCCAGCACCGTTTTGGAGGATCTGGGGGAAGGGGAAAGCTCACGGTTTGGTCATTCTAAAGAGGAAACGGTGCAGGGACCACCAGTCAGGACCCATGTTGGCAAGAGGGCATGAACCACAGGGAAAGCACCCGAGCTCCATGTTTCATGTGTTTCAAGGTAGACGTGACCCGGGGGTGGGTGTAAATCTACTCGGCGTGGAAATCAAGAAGTGGAACCCTCAAAAGCACGTCAAGCTCACTTCAAGGCGCATCATGCTCTTGTAAGAATGCAGCACAAAGTTGCGACTGAGCGGTAGATGGCCCACCCATATGGTCCAATAAAAAATGGCAAGAGGCAAACAAGGCGCGTGAGCGGCGTGTGCCAAAATGCGACGGTCTGAGCATGTTTAGAGAATTGGGTGCTTTCTTCGGCACCTGAATGTAGTCTGCAATGACCGCGAACGGGCAAGAAAATGAACGGCACAGGGGCATAGGGGAGGAAAATGAAGAAGCAGAAGGAGGAAGAACAAGGAAGAGGAGAATAAGTGGCACAATTCTCTCATGTTGGTTGATTCCTATTCTTTGCTTACCATCGAAAGGAGTTGCGCCATGTACTTTTACCGATTCACCCTGGCGTGCAACCATATGGCTGTGGGTCAAAACCAATGGTACCATTTTGAGGCAGGTGCACCACCCGAAGAGTTGCTGTGCTCAGTCGGAAATGTCCCAAGGTTTTGGGAATGAACCTAGAAATTCCCTTAAAGGAAGCCATGCAAAAATGATTTATAGGGGTCATTCCCTCATTCCTTGCCTATCGAACCAGCAAGAAGAGGATGACCATGTTGACCCCCAAATCCGTGGCTGGTATTTACGAAGACCTTCGAGACGCGATCTCCAAAACGGCTCCCCTGGTCCAGCAAGTACAAACACGAACACTTGGTCCGCAAAGCTGAAGAGCAACGGCGACCCGATGGTGCGTGCGTGTGTTTGTTTGACAAAAGGGGAGACAAAAAACACAACTTAACACCATTTCGTGGAATCGGTCGCCCATTTCGTAACTGACAAAAACCATCGAAAGCCAATCAAGAGCTCACCTTCTCTCACACCCGCCGAGCATCGAAGGAGCCGGCCAGGTGTACCCACTGCTGCTGCCAGCTGTCACCCTCTGCTTCCAGCTCCTCGCCAGTTGCGATGGCGACAAAAACGACCAGAGCCCCTGATTTACCCAGAAACCCAAAGGAGGCTGTTTTTTTCACAACAGTTGAA